GCAATTATTTTCAAGATCTTATTGATTTATATATATAAATTTATTATTTATAAGAATAATTAATAATGAAAACATAAAAATATTTAGTGTTATGAAAATTAGCAATATAATTTCTTGATGTATGACATGTTTATATGTTAGTGTTTAATATACATAATTATCTTTATATATACTTAATCTGTTTTTTTAATTAAAAATTTATTGTTTTATTCAGAATTCTTCAGAAAAAGCTGAAAAGAATGAGCCTTTTTCTTCCAATCAAGATGATTTAGAAAATAGAACTGAGTAAGTTGAAATACAAAACAAAATAAATTTAATAAGTTAGAAATTTACTATTTTCAAATTTTTATTATAAGACAAGAAGGAAAAGATATGGCAGGAATGGACTTATCACCATTAATTTGCCAATCTAATAACAGAGCTGCTCAAATTGCAGAAGAAGATATGATATATGAATGTGGTCCAGAAGGAGAAACAGAACCAGATATTGAAGCAGAAACGGATGATACAAAAGATCTAGCTGAGGCTGATCAATCACCTGGACAAAGAACTAGTGTAGTAGATCATGTTCACCATTTCAGACAAATTGAATCACCACAGTTAGTTTCTTCTTTAGGAAACAATACAAATAATTTTGTTTTGATTAATTCTGGATTGAGAAATGAATCATCACTAGCAGCAACAATAGATGGTTTGGATGATATTTCTGTTGAACAACAAGATATTGCAGCTGGTGGAGAACAAATATCAGTATGTGTGATTTAACATAAATATTAAAATTATTATTAATGTATTTAAATATGTTAAATTTATATTTATAGTCTTGTCTCGACGATCTTCAAACCGTTGATGAGTTGCCACTTGATGATATTCCTACAAAATTAATTCCATTATCAGAGGTAGGAGTTGATAACCTGAAAAAATGTAGACATTTTTAACATAGAAATAACCATTTTTATTTACTTTATAAGGGAGAAATTTCAAAGCAAATGGCTGAAGAAATAAGTGCAGCATCCCTCTTACAGGAAGTGGTATCTGAAGAATTGTCTGATGTAGTGAAAGAGCAAAGTAATTTTGAAAATTTTATATTATATATATATATATACACATACATACATCCATACATACATACAGTAAAACCTTTGCTTTACAATCCTTTACTTTCAACCTTTATAATTGGTATAATTTTTCTGTTATGAAATATTGTATTAACTGAATATTTTTTGTTCATGATTATTTCTTATGGTATTATATAGTTAAACCTGTATTTTCACAATCATAATCTCAATTTATGAAACAAAATATTGTAAAAGCAAAGATTTACTGTACTGTATATCTGTATTTTGGTTGAGGTAACATATATTCTATTTTCTGTCTAATACAGTTTCTACTTTTAAATATTTAATTTTTAGTTACTTAACTGTTTCATGGTGATATCTTAAATATTAATTTTAATTTATAATGTTTTTAAGTGGAATAATTTAATAACTTTTATCTTACTTATTGAATATTTATTATGTTGATTAGAAAAGTATACATTTAACATTAAGACTTCTTTAAGAATCATTATTTAAAAAATGAACTTTGTAAGATAATTTCTTATCAGTTCAAAAAGTACAAAGTAATTAACAAAATAGATATTAAGTTAATCACATCAGTCCAAAAATTTTGTATATTTCTTGANCAACTTGAAAATGTTATTAGAAAAACTAGTTTTTCTTACAAAAAATAATTTCAATATAAACCATAAAATTATATTTAGTATAGCTTAAATATTAAATTTACTTTACTTTATCTGCCAAAAATTTTGGTGCAATATATATATTGATATATACATTGCTTTTTTCCCTTCATGCTTGTTTTTTTGTTACCATATATACTATTAATGTTTCAAAAACAACTGTAATATGTTATTGACTACTTAAATCAATTAAAAACACTTAATTTCCATTATAAAATAGCATAAGTTTTCTTTAAAATGATTAATAAATAACCTGACAGGTAAAAAGAAACAATAAAATAAAAAATGAAATTCTTTCTGATTATACAGGGTGTCCCATGTAAAATGGTCTTACACCAATTGTGTAAATAATTCTAATCTTCATATTAGAAGAAAAGGGCAAATGAGACAAAATAAAATTAGACAGAAAAAACGTCTTTGAAAACTTTTATTCACAAAATGCATTTGCACTTGGAAATGTGCACAACCAATACATCATTGTTTAAGGCAGGGGTGGGAACCTGCACCCCAGGCCACATGTGGCATGCATTAATAATTTGTGTGGCCTGCATAGCACAAAATATTAATAAATATATCAATTTCCAAACTTAAGAAAGTATGCAGCAAGAATTTTAATGTTATTTTCTACAACTTAGTAAAAATTTAATAAAAAGTAAAAGAAGAAATTGGCTAACACACTCTCATCAAAACTAATTTAAAACTAACAGTGACTAATATTCAACCAAATATTTTGGATATATTAGCCTCAGATCAGGGACAGAAATCAAATTAAGTATACTTATGTTAATTTATAGTCATATATGAATAAATAATTGTGATTTACTTGATTTTGTTTTCTTTTTTATTTTGTGTGGCTTGCGTCAGTTCAGAAGTTTTAAATATGAGCCTTACATAAAAAAAAATTGCCTAACCCTGGTTTAAGGAGTCTAGTTTTATGTGGATACCCTGTATTTATTTATTGACTAATTATAAGTTATAAATATGTTAACTTGACAAACTGATGATTTTTGAATTTTACATCCTTACATCCAGTTATATGTTAACCATAAAAAATTTTAAGGTAAAGGTTTATATGTAATTTATAAAAACTTATCTTAGACTCTGAATAAAAATCCTTTGTTTCTTTCATTAAGAATAGTTGAATAAATGTAAATAAAAAACATAATAAATATCAAATGAACAGCTAGATTCTTTTATTGGGATAATCAATTAATAAAAAATTTAGCTAGAGGTAAGCAGTTATGACGCCATATTGTATCAAATTTAATAATTTTAAATTAAATATGGATTGAATTTAATTAATTAGAAGATTCTGGAAAGAAAGATTGGCTTAGAGTGGTGGAGTTTAAACTTGCATTTTTTGTTTACTGTATAAATAGATTACTATTTATGCTGTTAAGATCATCATCTGAGTTTCACTTCTAGAATCCTATAAATGCTTAACCACCTACTGTTGGCCAAATTACATTGTACAAAATATAAATATGGGCCTTATCAAGACAGAGTCGAGAGTAACCAAGTGTAGAATCCCTTTAAGCGTAGTACTTGACTTTTGTTATTTAACATATTTATCAAAGTACTTATTATAAATTTTATTAAGCTTAAAAGGTTATACATATTACAATAATTTTGAACTTTATACCGTACTTAGCTATTAAATTTGTGATATCAAATGAAAGTTAAAATGAAATCTTCAATATCTATTTTGATATCATTTCTTTCTTTCATATCCTAAAAAAACATTGATAACTATAACTACTAGACTACTTAAGTATTATTTGGAAGTAATTACCCTTAATAATAAAAAGTTTGAGCTAAGACTAAAAAAAGCAATTGACTAGTTTTGAAGGTTAAAAATATTCTTTGTTTGCTTATGAAAGAAAGTATTAAAATATATTGATCATGCATATTTTGATCCAATAAATCTTCAGTTCATAAATTCTTAATAGGAAATTATTATTCATGGTGATCTAAAATACAATAATTATACAGGATGATCAATTTTAATCAATTCACTGGAATAACTTGAAAAATATACATCCTACGAAGAAAACTCGTTGAACCAAAAATGCTAGACTTCAAGGGGACACAAGATGAGGCTAACATTTTTGGTTCAAACAGTTTTTGCAGGATATGTAATAGTGTGGTGCTTAAAATAGGAAAAAATAAATTGCTTACTTTTTTGTGGTCCTACCCTCCAGAACTATTCCAACTGGTCTCAAATTACTACAGAAGAAATTTAAACTTGATATATTAATATTTAGAGGTAGCTCAACGACCACAAAGTTTATAAAAAGAGCAATTTATGACAAATGAAAGACCTGTTTTGATAAACAGGCTTGTTTCACTTTTTTGGACAATTACAGACAAATTAAATAGTCATGTAGACTCTACAATATTCAAAAACTTGATGGATTACTAACAAAAATTCAACAAAAAAATTTTTAAACATCACAATTCACAAAATCTGAAATTTTCAGTACAATGTTCAATGCAACTTTATCAGTTTATTTTGGTACCGACATAGTTTCTCTTCCTTGCTGTCTGGATAAGCCTGACAGTGCTGTTGAACAACTTGCAGAAAATACTGAAGTTGTAATTCATCATGAGTCATTAGGCCACTGAATTCCTGGATGAGTGCAACCATGTGTTCTGCATGGTTGTTAACAACTTTCATGGCATGTACTGACTCTGCAGCCTTCTGGTAATCCTCTCTATCTTTCCACAGGTCAGGATCTACAGTGAGAAATGTATCTGGAAGCTCCATTAATTCAGAGTTTGTGACTTCACAAATATAATGAGAAAAAATCTTGAGGACTTTAATGTGTCCAGTGGGTCAACACTGATTTACTTAATGTGACCCTGTTCAGTGTCGTCATCATTTTGCATTGCTGTAATTATTAGCCTCTTTGTAGCAGAACTTACACTTGTCAAAAAAAGTTAAAGCAACCAAATCTGGCAACAAATACCATAAGTGTTTAGAAAATTTGAGAGATGCTGCCTTGGATATTGTCATGTTGATTGCCGAGTATTCAAGAAGTGATTTCAGAAGATAAAGGTCATTGTTATGAGCACTGGCTACCAATGGAGCTGAAATCCAGGCTTTGAAATACACATGTGCAGCAAAGACATATCCTGTAGTCACTTCTCTTCTTTAGGGGCTAGTTCCACTTAACAAAAAAACATCCACGCCTTCAAACTGTAAATTATCTTTGAGAGTATGAGTCACTGACTCAGCCTCAACTACAAACAGCAAAAAACATTTGCAGCAAGACTTGATGGTATCAGCAAAATAATGATCACGAGTCATAACAGAAATTAATTTTGTGGGAATGTCATATAACTATTGTGTGATTAATATAATGGTTTATTTATTGAGATGACCAACTAGTTTTACAAACTGTTGTACTAAAATGGATACATTGTGGTTCAAGCATGTGATTGCCATACTTTTTAGTATTTGTAACCTATAAACTTAGTGACATTGAGCTACCAGTAAATATTCACCAATGAAGTAGATTTTTGGCATAAATTTTTTCTAAATATATTTGAGCAGAAATAGAGGATTCACATTTTCAAATTGTGAAAATAAACTCCACACTAATATGTAATTTTGAGTTTATTCCATTGAATTTATTAAAATGGATCACCCTGTACAATGTTTAATTTTGTTTTTGATATGAATAGACTGTAAAAGTTTATTAACAATTATGTCTATCCAAAACATGGCATATTGTTCTTGGTTTTAAATGCTTGGTTTGCAGATAATTGAATCATCTTGAACACTCATTTTATACTCAGATCCTATTATTTTGTGAAATTTTAACAAACTTTCATTTTTCAATTAACTATGACATTAGGCAAATAGCAATTAATTTCCAAAAATCTTACAATTATGACATTAAGAATTCAGAATATACATAGTTGACTCTAAGTCAAGCATCATTAACTTAAGATTTGACTTTGCAAAAGATTTATTTATGTTTCAATTTAACTCTCATAAACAACACATTTTGTACCTCTAAGTTGAAATAGTTTTCAGAATGTTTGTTTCAATATTTTTTTGAAAATTTGAAATCCAGAATTCAAGTGAATTTATTTAATTTCTAATATTGTGTATTTTATTTTGCAATTTAAAGAGGTCATATGAAATAAAACTTAAGATTATAACAAAAATGTTTGATTCTAATTTGCATTGGAAGAAAAATAATTACATGACGTTATTACCTCAAACCTCGACACAAGAACACAGTGTAATGGAATTTGTGCTTAAACATGAATCAGTCAAAATTATTACTTTGAGAGGCTATCTATGAAATTCTAATAAAGATCTATTAAAAATAATATAAAAATAATGTGCTGGGATTTTTCAAGTGGCCAAAAACAATACATCAGTGTCAAACACATGTAACAGGTTTTTTACCAATTGTGCATACATAAATAACTAAATATTTTTACTAACCTATGGAACAGACTTAATATAGTTGCTTGTATCATAATATTTACTGTTATTTCTACAGTAGTAATTTCCAAAAAATATAACACAATTTTGTTGACTAAAATTTTTCTCTATTCCTCATTTCACTAAGTTATCAAAAGTCAACTGTAATTGAATTTCATTAATTGGAAGAAAACTCACTACACACTAAAAGCTTGTCACTTGTTAATTCCAAAAAAAATTTAGACTAAACATTTATCTGACTAATTATTTACATATAAATTCTGAGGAATAAATAATATCAGTGATCAAAATTTTTTTTTCCAGGTCATTTTTGACATTCAGCAGTTACAGAAAAGTGTTTATGTATAACTCTTACTGCATTTTGTGTAGCTGTTCTATGGATTGCAATGAAAGGAAGATCTAGTATTGAATAAATACTTGAAATATCAGCATTGAACAATCTTTTTTACCATATAATAAAAAAAAAAAGAAAA